AGAAAAGGTGAGTGGCTGTTGTGACTGAATTGACATCATCTGGGCTTGCAGCCCATAAGTAGGTCAAGAGAGTAAGATTTAGAGGCAAACGAAAATGTTCTCCCAGGCGAGCTTCTGATTTCTTTACGTAATCCATCAACTTCTGCGTGTCTTGTTGGCTCATTTTTTCTTTTTTCATTTCCTCGTGCAGTTTATACACAAACTCTGGTCTTTGCTCAGCTGTGATGCCCAAAATTCTCATGTGTATCCATTCAGACTTTATGCAGTAGTTGGGTAATTCCCTTAGTGCCTGTGGTCTTGTAGTTAGCAGAAGGTGAAAGACACCTGTGCTCTTTGGCATCTTATCCATCACAATTTCCTCTACTAACTGTCTAGAAGCTTTGTTTAGTTCATCCAGTCCATCGAGAATTAGAAGAACTCTGAGTGCCAACACAGATCGCACAATGTCCTCATTTGACATGGAGTAAGAAGCACAAGGCATGAGCAAGTTTAGCAACTCAGCAAAGTTTGTAACAAATTTGTTCTTGCATTCAGCATACAAGACAATTTCATAGTTCTCTAGATTTTCAAATCTGTGGGTGAGATGGGGGACATCTCAGCCCACTCTGCCAGAATGAGTTTTCCAAATGTGCTCTTCCCTGCACCTGCCTCCCCTTCAATTACTATTATGTTGGGCATCTCTCCCTTTTCAGTCTTCTGCACTAGCACAGATTTGTAATCAATGTGAGTTTGACTTTGTGCTTTATCTTCCATTATAACTTCCAAATTTGTGAAAATGGCTCTCACTTTAAGCGTCTCTTTGCCTGATATGAAAGATGCTGGGTCCACGTTTGTCTGGCCCTTTATTTTCTCCTTTACCTCTACCACTCCACTGTTTTTTATATAATTTTCTAAATGCTCTCTTAGCTCTCTGATTTCATCTTGGTACTTGTCAGCATCTACAGGCAGGCCTGGTGCATTCTTTATTTTTTCAATATTGGCATTCATTCTTTTTACTGCGTCATCAATTATTGAGGCTGGGATAGAGTAGCGGCTGCCAGCAGACTCGTATCCCTTCTCCAACAGACTTTGCAGGTTTACAAGCCAGTCAATCATAGCTTTCTCATCTGGAAGTTCCAAACCATGGGCAACACTATTTCTCTGATCTTTAATCATACTACAGTAGTTCTCAAGTTTATTACCTTTAGCTTTCCATTTGTCAGTTTCATTGGGAGGTGCAACATTTTCACAAGCATTCCTGATGACAGCATGAAGTAAACTTACATCAAATGTTTTTCCTGAAGAGTCAGCAACAATCGTCTTTCTCATATCAGCATTGAATCGGTTTTTGTAATCTGATTTTTTTATGCCTTTGCTCATCAGGTACTCCTCAACTGTTTCCTTTTTACCTTTGGGACATCCTCTCTGAAATACAAACAGGAGGAATGCTTTTCCTTCACAGGAAATACATTTGAACACCTTCAATAGGCGGATGTCTCTTTCATCCAAGCCTCCAGGACTAGGGATTGATGACATGGTGACCAGATTATCATTTAACAGCAATAGACAAATTTCGTGTGGAGTAAGGTCTACTTTTAATATCTTTCTACTGTTTCTGAGTCACTGTATTTCCCACCATCCACTCCAAAGGCTGCACAGTCCATGTTTCAAAACCTGTGAGGGACAGAGAAGCAATTAACATAAAAACACTTACTATTGAAATTGTTTCTAAATCCATAATTTTACCAATAACATTATCATTAGAAGATACTGATCACTTTTCATATACATACATACATAGAGAGAGAGAGAGAGAGAGAGAGAGAGAGAGAGAGAGAGAGAGAGAGAGAGAGAGAGAGAGAGAAGAAGAGAGAGAGAGAGAGACCCTTGCACACACACACACACACACACACACACACACACACACACACACACACACACACACACACACACACACACACAGTGGATTGGTGTACTAATTCCTGACATTGCTCTTCAAGGAAGTGTGCAAATTTCCAACTGGACAAGCACAACTGATGCCAAGTCACTAACAATATACCATGCCATCAAAAAAGGTATTGAACAGTAGAGACACAGATGTCTTCTCTGACAGACAGGGTGCACTCTTTAGACTTGAAGCATTTGGTCCATAAAACATGGTAACTATCAATACCCTTCACCAAATTTCTAGCCTATCAGAGCAGGGTACACAAATGTCACAATAATGGATACCTTCTCATATAGGAATATCAACCTGTGACAAGGTAAATCAGTTAGCAAAACTAGCACTTTCCCATTAAGAACTATATTATGCAATACCGCTTCTATCATTCAAATGAAAAAACATGTTATCAGCTGTCTTCGAGATAATGAGGGCCAGGTACCGACCACCGAAAAATGAAGAATAGTGGACATTGTACCATCTGACATCATGAACGTATTGTATGGACATGTAATATTGACAAAACTTATAGTCTACAATGGAATATCTCAGAGACAGGCTCCTCATATGATATCAATA